AGAGAGAGAGAGAGAGAGAGAGAGAGAGGGATAGAGTTGATCCCCGTAAAAGAAAAAGGTGGAGAAGGGAAAAAGAGACAGAAACAGGGGGCACAGAGACGAGGACGAGAAGGAGAGGTAAACGAAAGGAAGAGAACGGAAGGAAATAAAAATCCGGGCAGAAAAGGGACGAGAAAGTGATCGGAGGAAATAAAACGGGGCCCGGGGACGTAAACACCGCTGTGTATTTTGGAGCGGGTGACTCTCGGTGTTACGCACGAGGAAATCGTTCGTGTTATTTCTTCTGTTTTTTCTTTCTCCGAGTTCTGTCTGTCGACGTTACGACGACGACAGTCAAACATCGCGAATTTTGATCGTCTGATATACAAAACACGACTAAGCTGATACACGCGCGGTCCTGCGACAGGAAGAGGCGATACGTAGGGGAAAAAAGAAGAGCAGGCTAAAGAGAAGAAGTTAGCGGTGGATAAGGAAGAAAAGAAGCAGGAAAGAAGGGAAAAGATGAGGCGAAGGAATAGGGGGAGAGAGAGAGAGGAAGAAAGGCTGGAAAAAGAAGAGGAGAGAAAGCGAGCAAACCAGCGAGCGAGTGAGCGTGCGAACAAGAGAGACAAAGATAGGGAGAGGGATTTTAAGAAAGGAATCGGTGCTCTCGAAAAAGAAAAGACGGCAGTGGACTTACTCGGTATATCCGACGGTGCTTGTATTTGCTAATGCCGTGATGACGATGCGTCTCTCCGGCGAGACCGACGTTCCATGCTCGAAAATGTCAACTATCGACGAAAAAATGGTACGGACTGAAACGCAGACACATCGTAGCTCTCTTTCTCGTCCTTACTTTCTCGCTCTCTCCTAGCGACGACGATGATTCGGCGTGAACTCTCGACACTTCGACACGACGCACACACGCACCACACTCACGACGAAATATACACACCGCGCCGATCCACCGTAATAATAAAGGCGACTTGACACACAGAAGGCATGCAAAGTGTTTCCCGATCGCATCGAGTAAACAGGGATCACGGTGAATTCACGGGAAATCGGACACTATACGGCTAGGCATTTCGCGGCTCGTCTCTCAGGCACATCTTGGTCGCCATCGAGATCTAACACGAGTGCGCGGGACGCGCACTCTCGCGGCCCCTGCCTAAACTTGCCCCTTCAAAGACCGGCCAATCAACGGGCCGCATGGCCTATGCCCTTGCCGCGAGCAGTCCTGTATCTAGTTGACGCGCCGTCATTCATTCATCTCTTGGAATTTTGTTTTTACGGAACTCTGCAAGAACACGCTATTTCTTCTACTTTTATATCGATATAAACTATGCGTTTATTATTCGTGTATTTCGATGCTTAAAAGTATTGATCGTCAATTTATTTTAGCGTTTTACGGCATTACTAATTAATGTTACTACCGAGAAACACGCACACAGATATGCGCCTGCACATACTCAATGTACCATCGGCAGTCGCGTACCTAATTGATTTAGCACCTCCTTACTCCAAAAATTTTAGAAAATGTACAAACAATTTGTAAATATATAATACATATTTTTTATCGATATATTGTCCAAAATAAAATTTATGATAATCTTTATGCATCTTATTGTTATCGAAATATTTATTACTATATGCATATTTTGTAAATTTTTCAAATTGTTAATTTATCGTTTAAGATATCGATTTATCTTGTATAATTGAACTTAACGTTTAAGAATAGCAGATAAAATATTTTTTGTTATAATCTATACTTGCTACAAATTAATTAATAATTTCAGATAAGTTGTTTTTGCTAATTAGTCGAACAGATAAAGTCATTATGATAATTACACGTTTATTATTATCTAATGAACTATGTAAAGAAAATATGCTTAACTATATTATAAATTGCATTTGCGATGCTTTCTATTATCTCGTTTCACCAAAAATTTTGTATTGTAAATTTAATCTGTTAGATACAAAGCTACACCTATGACTCAAAAACAAGTTTTTAATGTTGATATTAAATATGATATAATAGTGTTTTCGTAATGAAAGACTGTAAATATTGATAATTATTGTTCAATAGAATAATATATCGACTAAATGATTTGACGTAATTGTTGCTCGCAAGAAATTAACCAAAAATCTATATTTTTTATTCCTTTGATATATTAAAACATACAAAAGAGTAAATTTATTTTAAATTTCAATATAAATTGGAATAGGCTCCAGTAATGTATACTGTAGAAGGTAATATTAAATTATCGCTATTATTTAAAACTCATTTTCTCTGACGTATATCTAATATATACTTCACTAATGTTTACATATTTCATGGTTGATTTCAATTGTGTCTTAATAAACAAGAATATATAATTAATTTTTTTTTATTTAATTTTCTTAAAGTATATATTAATATCTCCTGCTATATAATTATATTTTATAAATTGTTAATGAAAGAACGTTTTCACTGAAACTGCCACTTAATCCTTTATTGATAATATTATTTTGATTTTCAGCTTGGTTCGGTCACTCGATATCATAAGATCTATACTGCTTCCCGGTCAGTTTCACAGTTACTCCGCGTTAAGGAGTGTGGCGCCAGCGTCGTGCACTTCGGTACACTCGAACACAACTATGTTGGCGAGCAGCACGAGAGGGAAAGGTTTTTAGCGCGCGATGCGATTAACAAATGTTGCACCACACTCGAATTCAAACAAAACGGGAAGATTTCGACGAGGATGAAGTTTAACTTCTCGTTATCCGGTACGGTAGCTATGAAATCTCATCGATACGCCTTGTGTTATACTACCGTTTCTCCCTTCTATTCGCTCCGCGTTATCGATTGTTACGAACGCGCCGACTGATAATGCGTTAAGTGTGCACTTCCTTTAAACCCAAATCACATATCCTTGCATCTACTTGCCGAAAAGAATCGAATATCACGGTATATTTGGAATTATGTATGTCGTGCAAAATTAACGTGAACTTGGATACTCTGCGGCATGGAGGTGAGATGTCATAACAAATATACAAATATTTTTCAATAACTTATCATTCAGTAATATATGTAGATGTTTAATGTAGACAGATTCTTATTCTTTGTTTCTTTTCTGAAAAGGAAAACAATTCATTTTGATGTAATATTTGGGTATAGTGTTTTACACACAGGGTGAGGCATTTAAGAACAGGCAACCTGAATAACTCCCTTGTCTTTTACAATATAGGGAAAGTGTCAATCTAAATTTACTTGGTTTTAAGCAATATATGATCTGACATTAATATCTTTTTTTATAGGTTAAGGGATAGAGGAGATACAAAAGTTAAGTCTGTTTTTTTTTCAAAGGAATGATATAGTCTTTATTTACATTCTGATAAAGAGCTTCAAGACGAATACAATATTGTACAGTTATAACTCGTTCAAGGCTGTTCAAGGTCAATTAAAATGGAGAATAAATTACTCCAAGAAACCGTATAAACGTTCCGTATTTGCATATTTGCTGCTAGTACAAGTGTTCAAAATGATGACCTTGAGCATCGATGCATATTGCAAAGCGTGTCGATATAGAAACCACAACATGGCAAATTTCATTTGATTCATTAACAAAATGAAGTTTTGCATGTTTCTACTTTTTCTAAGTATTGATCGGTTCCTTGAAGTAATTTCTCTCTATCGCAATTGACCTCGGATGATCTTGAATGACCTTTGACTGTATTGGTTTGAAATACTCTATTAGAATATAATTAAGAAACCATGTCATTTCACACTTTCGTTTATGAAAAAATTATCGATTTGTAAACAAAAGGATGCATTGCAAAAATATTTACAAACTATGACGCTATGAAGTAGTAATAAACAGAATTATTATCCATCAAATTTATTGTTTATAGTTATTACAATGTATGTAAAAAGAGAAGTGAAACATTTTTTAAATGCATTTTAGTTTAAAGAATAATTGTAAATTCTTTGAAAATTTGTCATGTAACTAATTCAATTTTTAATTAAGCATAGTTGTATTAACAACCACTAAAGTTTAAAAAAATATTTGTAAAATTGTATAATTTTTTTGTGTAGATCTTAAACGAATCAAGTGCACATTTTATATAATTGTGTTTTACATTTTTTTACAAAGTATTCTGCATTTTTGAATGTAATGGTTTATCCTCCTACACGTATGCAACCCTCCGCATAAGAGATATGTAACCGGTACAAGTCCCATACCTATGCATTTGATTCTTAAATAGGTATTGAATTATGTATATTTTTTCCTTCAATTTGTATTGTTCCTCTTCACAATTGAATTTTAAACAATTATGCTGTTCAGATATACATCTAAAACAAACGATTAAAATTTTTTATAGATATAATAGATACCAAAAATATCTATCCTAACATATCAGTATGGAGCTAGAAGACTGAAAGCCTTATATAATGGAAGCCAGGATGCCAGTGAAATACGACGATTCTTAAGTTCAGTATGGTACTTAGAAAAGGGCCTTGGTCTAAAAAAGTCCTGGTTCCAGCCTGTTTTCTGCTAATTCTCATCTGGATCTTTCTAATCGATAATTCATTACTACTCGCCGGCCTGTCTGGTAAAGGAACCTTGCAAAAATCGAGGAATTTCGTTTCTTTCGCTCACGATCCGAGTCTGGATCGTCTAACGATCAAGGAGTCATCTTCGATGAACGATGTCGAATCGAAGCACTCGAAACTATCGAAACTTCAAGTGGTATCGCTTTGGTCGAACAACAGCAGTGTTAAAGAAAACACAGGATCCTTGCGAAAATATCAGATCTTGAGGCAACAAGGTTTGATACCTAGCAAACAATTGCCAACCGCGTTGATAATCGGTGTTAAAAAGGGTGGGACTAGAGCGTTGTTAGAATTTTTGAGATTACATCCTGCTATTCGTGCTGCTGGATCCGAAGTGCACTTTTTTGATCATCATTACATCAAAGGATTTCATTGGTACAGGTGGGCTTGTTATTCACGCTTCATGGTCGTATATTAATTCGATATCATAAGTTATGTAATAGCAGTGGTACAGTAATTTCATTACTATGTTCAATAATATTTGAGTGATTTAATTATTATGATACTCTCTTTTGATCTACTTGAATCTTAGATTAAGAACATTGTTAATGTTATAGCATAAAGATCTGTCTCATGGTATATTCCAGACATAGGATGCCTCCAACCTTGACCACGCAAATCACCATGGAGAAAACCCCGTCGTACTTTGTGACGAGAAAAGTTCCAAGGCGAGTTCAACGCATGAATCCAGCGATGAAATTGATTCTCGTAGTAAGGGATCCAGTTACTCGAGCGATATCCGATTATACCCAAGTGAAGAGTAAACGAGCTAACATGCCTAAGTTCGAGGATCTAGCGTTTCTAAACGGATCGAAAATCGTAGACACATCGTGGGTACCATTGAAAATCGGAATCTATGCATGGCACTTAGAGAGATGGCTCCAATACTTTTCATTATCACAATTTCTATTCGTGTCTGGAGAAAGATTAATCATGGATCCGGTCGCCGAGATCACGAGGGTTCAGGATTTTTTAGGCCTAAAGAGAGTTATCTGTGAGAAACATTTTTATTTCAATGCCACGAAGGGGTTCCCTTGTCTGCTCAAATCTGAGGAACGTCCTACACCCCATTGCCTTGGTAAGTATCTGTATTTGATTAGAAACATTATTGACTGCTAAAAAATTAACAAAAGATTCCACGTAACGTGGAACTTGTAAAATACGCGAAACAATTTAGATTGCAAAATGAATCATACACTCATTCTTACTTTTGTTTGTGATTTCTACTACTTCAAGGTAAGAACAAGGGTCGTAGTCATCCTTACATAGATCCTGTAGCCATACAACGATTGAGAGATTTTTATCGTCCATTCAATCAACGTTTCTACCAATTAACCGGAATGGATTTCGGCTGGTTGTGAGAGTAAATGCGATAAGCGAATACATATCGATGCTAGTTAAGTAAAAGAACATAGTCAATTTTTACTGAGATATTACACGCGCGCATGCGGACACCATTAGCTTGCACAGAAGTAAATGATAAAGAAAGAGATACTCTTCGGTTAGTTTTCATCCGTTCTTACTGTGACCTAAAATATTTTTTTATGTACGTAAAGTATGAAAAAAATGCACACATCGTTTCAATGTGTTGACAATACACACAAGAGAATTCCTGTTCTTGTTCGTGATATTAACTTTTAGACACGCGTATAGATTTAGAGTTGTCGCAGAATGTTATCCTATAATTTTATATATAAAAATTATGTATAATTTTTTGCATACATATATATTCCACTATATTTTATACACGACATTACAAAAAGAAGGTATATTCAAAGTTTGAACGATAAACGACCATATGAATTGTTTTTTATTTATTAGAGAATTATTTATAGATATTTGTTATAGCTAGGTTGTTGATTGAATCTTCCACTGAAAAGTAATATTTGAGATACCTGTGTTAACATTGTACAAATATTTTTATCGTTATTAGTTTAGAATCGAGTGTTGCATTATACATTGTTTTATACATTTTGTTGACTTTTTGATCTTCTAGTGCGTTATGTACAGAATCTTTATTAACGTTGATATTTTGTGATATGAAATAGTTTTAGAGTGAGGTATTTATTTTTCAGTTTTAATATCAAACAAAGAAGTGACGAGTATCCTTTTTAATAATTTATTTGAATTGCTTCAGAATATTCCTAAATTATAAAAAGATTATCATACTGTAGAAGTTCTTATAGTGCAGAAGCAAACTGAGTACAATTTAAAGTAAAAAAAAAATTACGTCTCGTATTTAATAAATAGCTCTGACGAACATACTTCGGTTGAAAAGGAGCATAGAAATATTAATAACGTCAATTAGACATTTGTAACGACGAAAATTACTAAAAAAAAAGTTCGTATAACCGTATGAAAATATATAATTAATATCGATACGTGCAAGTAGGCAGAAGCTTGCACAAACTGCAATAAAAATAACATATCTATATTTTGCAATCGTGCACGCACACATACACACGCATATTATAAAACAAGAATCTTTACAAGTTCAATTATAAAATTTAGCGAATTTTAATTAAACATTAGATAAAATGGTAGCGGTGAATTTATCAAAGTTCGTTCCGGATAAATATGTTTAGAAATTGTCTTCGATTTATAAAAATCATTCTAAGAATAACAATTACGAAACTTTTAGTATAAATTTCTAACATATTCTTAAGTATAAATTTAAACTCGTAGCTTGGAGTTACAAAAACGATCCGCGACGAGTGCATTGTTAAGTAGTTAATTACACATTAAGTTATTTGCTCAAGTGGCCTAATCAATCTAATTAGGGGATACAAAGCTGTAAATAAACAGTGATCGATGAACAAAAAAATATTGCGTAATATATACTCACATAGTATCCAATTCTTTCCTCCTTCCAAAGTTGAAGAAATCACATGAAAAGAGAAAAAGAAATTCTTCCTCTAAACACCCTGTACAAGTACATTCATCTCGAACTCACTTGTGGCCGCAGGACAAGATGCAGGCAACGAAATAACAACAAGTACATATGTCTGTTACAAACATTGTAATGAAATATTGCTTTCGACTTATCGAAAGGGAAAACAGCACGATACACGTGAACGTTTTCTTTATACAACTGTATAGAGTATTGTCTTAATACTTTCCGCAAAAGATTCATCCTCCTTTTGTACAAATGTTACGACATTAACAAATACGTGTCTCTCTGGTCTGTTTCTCTACTACCTATTGAACTATTACAAAAGAAAAGAAGGAGAAAGTTAACAATAGAAATTTCAGCCATTCGATGAAAGACAGACAAATTCGTGAAATTTACTTCCAGCTATTCCTGTTCTTATTCTCTCTTGTCACAAGTATACATCAAGTTTATCGATTTCCACAAATTACAAAGTATACAAGATGGTGAAAGAAAGACTCGAAGACTTTGTACGCTCGTCGTACCAACGAAGAGAAGTACTCGCAAAATATCGAACGTAACCTCTGCGATCGATACTTTCGACGTAAAATCGACTTCTATTATGTACCAACTTCAGACAACACGAGTGAGTTTCGTAATGGCCACAATGTAAACAGAACAATCCTATGTTTACATTCAATACTGCTTTCACTTTCAATATCGGATATTTGTAAATAATAAATGTCCATTTTACATTGAAATGATTGATCGTAGAACCCACGTGTATTGCAAATTTCCTACTGCTCATAGCAGGTATTATAAATCATTAAAGTCTATGATCATTCTCTACCACCCTGTAGTTTTGGTCCCATCGAAACGGCAATATATATGTATATTATATATATATGTATGTAAAAAATGTAAGTGCGACATACGTTTTATTGGTACTCTAATCTTATGTTAAAGATTCTTGAGCAATCTTATCGATTGGTGGACGGAATACATACTGTCGAGAGGGACGCTATTACAATACACAGTAGGTCAGTATGTTCATCATACGTGATCATCAAACGATCGTAAAAACTAACGCATAATACAATTCGATTCGGGTAACAAAATACTGATTCGACATTATTATTCGGGACAGAACGACCATCCCTTTGTATTTTTTTTTCCTTTCTTCTTTTAGGATTACTCTATAACACGAATAACAACGTTAACCTCTTGTCTTGATCCTTCGATGTTGACACAACCGATCATGAATTTTCGCGAAAAGGCAAACATATAATATCCGTTTCGTCTGCTTTCATTTTTCTCCCCCCTTTTTTCTCTTTTAATCTGAAGAGAAAAAAAAAAAAAAAAAAAGAAGAAGAAGAAATAAAAGAAACAAGGGTGATCTATAAAATTAATTTTGTTGAATACTTAACGTTAAATTATAGACTACAATGTTTCTTACATTCTACTACTAATACGTCGTAATATCTCGTTACTTTTTTCTAACATGCGCAATTAAGATCATACTCAATTACGATTTCGTTTCTACGTTTCTTAAGGCGATCTCAAATATCGATGATTGGGGAGCATTTCGTGGTGCACGGGAGAAATGCATCGGACAATAATTCACGATCTATCGTTCGTTCTCGTTATTCTCTTGGCGATGGTAAACGTGTAATGTTCCTCGATGAATGTTCCTTTCGTGGATTACATTTCTTCGACGTCTCGGTTCATCGATCGAATGCAGATGCACAATCCCGGCCTGTTTTCCACGACAGACCTAGCCTGCTCTAACTCGACGATAAAGAAACAGAATGATCTACGAACTTTGTTAAAAGGAAAACAAAAGAAGTTCAAACAGCGTAATAAATTATCTCACGCTCGTAATTTAGAGAGAATTTAGAGAGAATTTAGAGATAATTTAGAGAGAATTTATAGAGAATATTTAAGACGAGTCGCGGGATATTTAAACGTATCACAGGCTCGATCCAGTGGTATCTTTGATCTAAGTGCATCTGTAGTCATGACAAAATAAAGGAAACAATAAAGACACGCTGTCGGCCCGTTACAGTTTCAGGAGTCGTGGCTTCGCTGAGCCAGAGCAACGCATTCGAATGGAATATCCATTTCACCGCATATACAATTGCTATCCATAATATATATACAAGATAAGCGGATTTACGATCGAACCGTCCGTTTGGGAACTTACGATCTTTATCACAAAACTGGGACACAATTCCGATAAAACTTAATGGCAAGTTGCTACGAAGCGCTTCCACATAGTGGCAATGGGATGTCTTACATCTTATACACGGATACGTACGATTACAACAGATACTCGAATCGTTTCGAATTCGTTTAACGAATGTTCTCTTTAGCGTGTTCGATATTTATCTATGTGACAATGTGTGCTTGTTAAACGCAGTTTACATTTCCTAATCATTTTCCCTTTGTACTACTTGAAGAAATCAAACTCGTTGACTCATCTAATAGTCTATTCGCATCGGATATTCGAAGCAGATCTCAATGATTTTCATTTGCCTATTCTTATTATTATCATCCTCTTTTTTCCTTCTTCCATTTTCCGGATCGTTAAACTTACATTTAAGCGAAGATCGAAGAGACTACGTGAACGCATAAGGACGAGTATGGCATCGGAACGCGCTTCTAGCACCGTGAAGGCAAGCAATTCGTTTTCAGTTGACAATGGAATCGCCGTGTTGAATCTCTGCAAGCGATATAACAACACGTGCACGAAGCGAGACTGATCGTCGGGGATACCCCTCGTGCATTTCCTTATCCCTCATTAATTTTGTATGAGTCGGTATCTTTCTTTTATTCTTTCACCTTTTCCTCGCGCCCGTTCCCAGCAGAAACGCGGCGCACGAGTCGCGAGCTTTGTCGCGTGCGATTTATTTTTCTTTTCCTTTCTTTTCTTTCCCTCCTTTCTTTGCGATACAAAACAAACATGGAAGAAAAACGCCGGTATACCGAGAACAGTGGAACAAGAAGTAAAAGGACCGAACGTAGCGTGTCAAACGTAAAATTTACAGGACCCAAACGATCCAAATGAAGAAGCATAAAACAGAGAAGAAAAATCTTGCTACTAGAGTACACTTTACGCGTCTTAATTCTTACGGCGACATTTCAAAATGGCGCATCGACGCGAGACTTAACGATATCGTCGTTCGCATGGGCGACACGAAAACTGACCGGCTCGGTACCGGGGATCGTGTCAATTTCCGGTCTTGGAAGAAAAGGAAGAGAAGAAAAACGACGTATCATCCTTATGCTTCATATAAACGAGCAACAGTCGTTGTACACATTTCCAGGCAGCTTTGGATCGCTCGTGGACGGTTTTACATGCCGCGGGTCTACGCTGCCATATAGAAAGCGACTGCGTTCGTTATTACAGGAAAAGAAGCAATAAGGAAGAATAAAAGAGAAGAGTCGATCAAGCCGAGACACTGATGAGATTCCTCGTCGGTGCGCGAGTGGATGCTGTTCAGAGGTGCGTGATAATGATATCGTCGTCGATGTCGTCCTTTTCATCGTCGGTCTCTTCCACTTGGTTCGCCTCCGCCTGGGCCGCCTTCGGGTCCTCCGCGATAGCCTTCAGCCTTTTCTGCTTACGCCTGTGCAGTAGTTCCACTATGATGTACCCGATGGTGCCGATAAGCAACACTGTCAGCATCACGTACAGCTTCATACGGGCACACAGGTGGGTGCTGTACGCGTATGCTATCACGAAACCGGCACTCTCCCATAGTCTGTAGTTCGAGAACGCGGCTTCCTTGTTGCGCCTGAACAGGGTGCCGTATAAACCTGCAATGTCAAAGGATGCAATTAATTTCTCTTTCGACGTTATTTATTTTTCGGCAAGTATTCTTTAATTCCTTTACTAATGAAATTAATTTTAATAGAAAAGTTTCGAGTAATGAATAATTTAGTTTGTATTACGTGGCAGTCGTTGAAGAACGAAAGGGAATTATAAGTATGAATTTTATTCTCTCTTTAATCAGTGTTTGGTTTTTAATCATAATTTAATTTATCTCTAATTGATTAATAAATATGTGATCTTATTAATAGAAAATTAAGCCTGCTCCCGACCACGGTAATAAATTCGATTGCAAAATCAAGGAATCTAATATACATCGAGGTAAATTGAATATTCTACTCGAAGTCTCATATAAATGTGCATTCACTTGTGCAATCGACGTACGTCATAAAGATACATTTTATCCAACACGAGGTTAAATAAGTTGGGATAGTCAATAACGAAATTCTTGAGGCGAAAGAAGAAACCTGACCTAATTGTCATACAAGACAGTAACTAATGGCTGTCCATTTTCGAATAAAGATCCAATTTTCATATTGCATGCCATTATGACTGGCACAAGTATACCCTATTATACTGAATATTTACATTTCTTACAACCTATAACATCGTACATTTAATTCCTCAAATACGCTATTTAAGTGAGACTTAAAAGAAGTTGCAATTGCGATTAAAATAAAAATAGTATTTAAATTTTATATTATATATTATATATCAAATATACATAATGGTATTCCAATTATATAAATATTTCGTAACGAAAATTCTTTGATGAAATTTTTTAAGACAAGATTGGCGTTAAAGAATAAAAATGAAAAAATAAATTATTGCTCCATAACCAAGCCACACCGGGTTAATTAATTATTCATTTACCGATTCTGAGTAGTGAGTGGTAAAATAGGAAAACCCACTCTTTGGTAATGTTTTGCAAATCTACACATTTCATTGGGTTACGCTATACATCCTGAATAAATTTAAACGAAAAAAAGAAAAAAAGAAAGAGGAAAAAAGTATAGATACATGTTTAAACCCAACTTAATTCAAAACATTGCGCCATATTCTAAAGATACCAGGAAATTCCCACGAAAACGTTAGGATTAAAATTATCCCATCAAGAGTAATCAAAATTCTCACCATTCGCAACTAGATAGAAATCTGCATCGATAACATACCGATAATTATTATTTTCGTTGTTCGCATCAGAAAGTATATATTATTAAGTATATTTTCTGTGCATTCCATTAAATTACATTAAGGAGTAAAAACCAAGCTGCTCGGAAACTAAAAGATAATCTGCATCGCTACGTATGATAAATGTCGCTTACAGCACATTCCACCAAGTTATGCTCCAAACTACATATAGAGGGTGTTCCAAAATTCACGCAAGATTTGAATTTTGCGCCATTTGTGTGATAAAATGTTATCAACGAAAATTCATTATTGAATTTTTTCGCCACAATTTTTAATTAAAAACCCGTCTTTCCTATCAAAATTACTTCTTGCGTGAATTTTGGGACACTTACCCTTACTTATTGCTCGTCACCGAATAAAAATGAACACCAATAATAAATTCATCGCTGTTTTGCCACGTGCACGACGAAAAGCACTCTCCATAGATTCAGCCGAACTACATTACAACACGCAAGTGATAAATCAGAGAGAAAAAGTGCTCTCTGTACATACATCTGTTTAAATTACATTAGACGATACACGGTCTCTTACTCGCGGCTAAATAAAAATGACCGTCGACAAGAAACCAACGGCCAGTTTACGACTTCCACGACAAACAAACTACAAGCTGAAGTCCCTCGAATAATGTATCTTTTTTACTCGTACGTACCGTTCACTTGCGTCTGCCATACCGCATCGCCGACACCCCAGAGTCCGGAAACGGTGTAAAAAACGTACGGATTAGCGGGGTGCGGTTTCCAGTGGAGTAGTACGACGATAAGACTAACATGGACGATGGCGCCCAGCACCATGAGCGGCTGTCTGCCGACGAATTTCATTAGAGATCCAAAGACCAGGGAGCAGAGAGCGTTCACCACTCCGAAGCAGATCATCACATAGCCCACTCGGTGTACGCCCAACGCACATGAGATGTAGGCCTGGAAAATGAAAAAATCGGTCACGGTTAAAATAATTATTTATTTATCTTCTTTTCCTTTTCATTTTCAATTTTAGAGCGAAAGAATTGCCGGTGTGGGTGTTTCTCATGTTCAGGAAAATTCTTTGTTATGGTTGTATTAAGTGCGACTGTCGTTAGGGAGTAATGAGATAAAACGAACTATACCAAAGCGGAAAAAGAATACAGTTATTGCACTAAATATTTATACAAGTAACTACCCTAGTCTGATGATTCAAGTGAGAGTAATCGTATCTTCGATGTAAATTTGGGTTCGGATTCGAGACTCATGATAGAAGTACTTCTTCCCTCTAGCTTGACTAGAGATCAGTTCATGAAAACCAGAAGCAGAATTATAAATTGGATCGTTTATGCGCAAGGATCTTACGAGGAGAGTGCAAGTCCTTTGGGTCACCGATTTAGTTGAAACTTTGCAGGTTTGTAGATATCGTCATGCAGTTTAAGAAACTATATCATTACAACTGCAACTACTTAATAATTTTTGAGATATTTACAATTAAAAATTTATTATATATATAAGTAGACGTTTAATTCCATTATTTTATAAATGAAGTCGTGGCATGTCGGCAAGTATCGAGACTCCGTATGCCGAAGGACCTGAGTTCGATTCTCGGTCTAATAAATTTTTTCAATTTATTTTTTATTTATTTTTCGCCTATGAAAATATTGTAAATAAACAATTATAAATAAAATTTCTTAATAAAAAAATTTATTTTTTACGCTTTCTTATGCTAGTATATATTTATAACAAAATAATA